TAAGGACTTCACAACCGGCCCAAGTTGGTATATGTGCGAGTTGCTGAGTTTCTGGGAGTGGAGTTGATATGTTCCTTGTAAGATTAAGTACCTTCTCTTTTCTCTCATCAGGTTCGTATTGAAATCTTTCTGATTTGAAGTTTGATGGTAAAGGTTGCTCCTTGCTTCTGAGGTAAAATGGCAGCAATTTCTGGAACGGCAACTTTGATATGTACTTCCTGCCTGATACTACAAAATCTGTAAGGTGGGAAACTCTGCCTTTGGTAGGAGGGCGGTAGTTTCTTTGACTGAACGGTACATTTTGATACATGACCAAGACACTGTCGTGGGTTTCGTTCTTTCCAGTTATCGATGATTGGTCATTATGGTCAAAATTATCTATCCCCACACTTGTTTCCTGATTCTCATCGAAATTACTCGGCAGCGAGACTTTCATAAGTAAGTACTTGGTCATGATAAATAGCCCTAACAGCGCTCTCAGCCTCAAAAGTTCTGGATAGCTAATGCAGAATCCCAGGTGGTTGGATGCTGTGATAAGTTCCCTACTGTGACTTTTGTGGTAAATTGCATGAGCTTGCATGATATGCAAAGGTGTTCTTATTGTCCCATTATTTGCCATATGATGCATAACCTGAAAGAGAGAGTTTGCTTTGAGAATCTTTTTCGGACTGTTTGTTAAAACTGATCCAGTTTCCTCGTTTCCATCTTCTATTTCATCGTCAGTTTCTGATATTGTATCTGTTGCCACACTCTTCTGGTACTTGAGGAATGTTGCCTTGCTGATATTAAGCAAACCCCCCAAAAAATCCATTACGGACTCCGGCATTCTTGTATCCCTCAGAGCAGTCTGCAAATCTACAGCATCGCAAAATCTGTCTTCAAGCCCAAAAGTCATTCCTCTCAACTTTCTTCGTAAAATACTTCCTGCAGATTTCACTTCGTTTAGGACTTGCAGCTTTTGGATCATCGAGGCAGCATCTATTGAGGAGGAAAACACGACTTCCGAGTCGCTTTTCCTGTAGGGTTTACAGAATGACACTTGGTCACAAAATTTGTCAACAATAAATTTTTTAATCTTGTGGTTGTAGAACTTGCTGTCTGGGTGTTCTGCAGACAGGAAATCCCGGATACTTGAAACTGGCAGTCCATATTCTCTGTCAATTAGTTCTTCAATCATCGGAGTTACTTGATTTTCGTATATTTTCGTTGTTGATGGAGAATCAGATGAGATGTAAGTGATTTCACAATGTTTGTGAGCATAGCAATATGATTTCACGCACTCTCTCTCTTCGTCAAATTTCTCTCGAATTTTGTTAATTAGTTCATCGTCGTAGTTATTAACACTTTTAGCAATTAGTGCTTTAATCTGTTCAACGGTCAAGAGATTACGGGATTTATCAACAGGTTCCGAACATAAAAGGCATTTCGAAAGCAATCTTTGATAGCGGGATAAAAGTGAAGCCAAGCAGTTTTTGTGATAATAGAGATCCTGTGCGATCAGACGTTCGACTGAGTCTATATCAGCTAGCCGCACCGCTGCACTTTCATCTTTGAGATGTTTTACAGCCACCAGTACCTGTTTTGCCCTGTCCACTTCACAAATTCTGTACTTTTCTCTGATTCTTTTACCATTTATTATAACCTCTACGGAGTCACACCTGAAGCATCTGATAGAATTTAAAACATCCCCTTTCGTCTTCATCTCAGAACCTGAAAAAGGCATATTATAATAATCATTTGATGGTCTATTGTTTTTTCTTAGGTACTGGTGAAAGATTTAGTATTCCATAATATGTATTTTGTGCAGCAATCATAAAATGTTGAAGAACAGTAAAAATTTACCATCAAAACATAAACACGAATTGTAAGGATAGAATTAAAAAACAATCAAGCTTATTAATCAATTATTTGATTGATTATCAGATAAGGTTTTCAACAAGCGATCTTTTCATGACAGATTGGATGTTCATACTTGGAGTATGCCTATTGGAAGGGGTTTTGCTCCGCGTATTCCGTTCTGTTGTGCTGTTACTCTTAGTCTCAGTCGACTGTTCACTCTTAAATTGTTCATAATGTCAGCAAACATAATATGGGGCAGAATTTGACGGGGCTATTTGACGTTGTATTCCCTGTATTAAAATATAAAAAGATAAGACGTTGTGTTCTAGGCAAAGGATCGAAAATTTAACTAACTTCTTTGCTCCCATCTTCCTCCCGTGCACGTTTTCTCTCTTTGATGGCATCCAAAGTTTTCTTGTGTACATAGTCCTTGTAGCACCGATTCAATTTCGCGTGATACTTGAATCCATTTGGTAGCAATGCAATACGTCCTAATATTTTTCTATCCGCTCGTGTTTCGGCAGCCTAGCAAAATGGGATAAATCGAGTGCAAATTCCATGCTGTGATACCTCAGGAGGTATTGTGAAGAAATAATGAAAAGTTAACAATACCACGCAATGTTGAAATATTGTTGTAATAATTGTGATGACTTGATTACCTGCAATACTTTGGTCCTGCCATTGTCACTACCACTAAGTCTGGACAGTGTTGAGCTGGTGTCTAAGCAAAAGATACAGTGTTTTTCTGGATCGTAGGCCGATTCTTTAGATAGTTTAAGAGATATTGATCCGGAAGGTTTTGACCCTCCAGCCTCTGAATCATGACCACCACCTCCAATGCAGCTCATAAAATTAAATAGTTTGCAAAGGCTCTTTGGCAACTGTTTAACGAAATTAGCGCTAAAACTGAACAAATTTGCAGCAAAGAATTGAAATATAATATTTTATCGATTTGAGGGTTTTAGCTGTGAACAGCATTTTAACAGCTTTAAGTCGTTAATAGCATTACAATTCAATGTCATGGGACATCACTTATCAGTTGTTTGCTTGTTCACTTGGTTTCAAATCGCAGGAGGTTTTAAGTTTTATCGGCTACATTAAAAGGAATTTATCTACTTGCTGCATATAAATTGACGTCACCATATTTCATTATTATCGTCTTAAATTGCATCTGCACTCGGTTCAAATGAGACATAAGTGATGTTAACCATACCTATAACTAATCAGGGAAGGTTCTATTCGAAAAAATATCATAATCAATCATTTTCTCGTGTCAATAAACCTAAGGTTCGATACCCCACATGATGCTATTTGAAATTTCAGAATTTTGCGCCAAAAAGGGCGCAAATGGGCGTGGTTAAGGCGTCACTTGTGTTTAATTTATATTATTTTACCATGTTTATATTCTAGTTATACTGATATTATTATAAAAAGCCATTTAGAAACCTTCATCAAATTATATAGGCAAATTTCAATCATTTTGGTCAAATTTTTCCCACGCTCTAAAAAGGGCGTGGTCACGGGTTTAAACACACATAAAAAATTATCCACCCAAATTTTTTTTGAAGTAGAGACCCTAGGGAGCACAAATAACATCCCAAACCTAGTTAACTCGCTAAGTTGTGCCAGATTTTGACCAGATACAGGATTAATAAGGATATTGAAGTAATTTGATAAGACAGGTGCAATTATATGAGATGACTTTTTTATTACACTTATTGGAATGTCACTAGCTTTGCCGTTTTCAACTACACAGCAAGGATCACAAACATCCTTGCTCCCACCACCTCCAGCCGATGTATTACACCCTAGTCCTCCAGCTGATGATCATCCCCCTTCTACAAGCAGAGTAGGACACATTCGGACCAATCAACTATTCACCAACACCTGTTCGCGAACAACTGTCCACTAGATGGTACAGAAATGAAGATCACTGCCACCTTGACGGTTACGTCACCTTCCAGAACCCCATCCATTGGAGTTCTACTTAGCCACAGTAAAGATAAACACATACACACACACATACACTTGAACACACTAGGTAATGCTGTTAGGAACTGTTATTAAAGTTCTTATGATATCTGTTTTGAAAAATTGAATCCATTAAATGGTTTTACTAACTGTCAAGATTAGAAAAGTGGCAAAACTCAGAACTGTTCTTTTTCATTTAAATATGATATTGTATTTGTATAATAATTGATGTTAAATTTACATACAGCAATTCACTGATACCAAATTCCGGTAATTTCAGTTTCATTCCATCAAAATATGTCAATTGCTGTCTTGTTATGGTATGTCAAGAGATGTTCGTTTCACTTTTAAAAAAATTGTATAATTCACTTTTGAAACATCATTGACTATACTGATTATTTTTAAAATAAAATTATGACTCTTTGTAGTACTGTATTTTCTCTTTATTTAGAGTGACTTGTTCTAGTGTTCGTGATTTTCTATGTATTTTTCTGTGCAATTTTTCATGCATCTCCACGATCAAGATCTTAACACCTCAAATGTTTGTAATTATAGTTATTTTTAAGAATGTTCAAGAAGTTTTAATCCAGTCCATTAAAATTTGACATTAAAAAAACCCAACTTTTATATCCGAGAACTATTTATTATTGATCTATTGCAAATGTCATGTCACAAAGAACATAAATCTTTTAAAAATCTTTATACTGATAGTTTTTATATTTTCTGAATGTCTGGATCAAGAATTTCAAAAGTCACAAGTCGATACAAAAAAATATTATGATAGCAATGATAACCCAATTTAACAGATACAATGGGTCATAACTAACTCCCCACACAAGCCTTACACGTAATTTTCGTTAGAATTGTACCAAAATATTAGGGGTTAGAGTTATGGGTCTAACTAACCATTAAAAAGAGAAGTCCATTTATATTCGGACAAGAAATCTTTCTAGAGACAAATGGTATCAAAATCAATCCCAAACTTGTGTATATTAAATAACTGTATTACTGATAATAGATCTTTGAACTTCTTTTTTAATCACCAATATCTCTTGTCTAATTGTTTTAATTAAAGAATACTTGTGTCAGTGTCAAAAGAAATTAATTAATATTCAAATAGTTTCGAAATGTTTTGATTTCGTACGATCAAGATTTACCATGAAATTCTTAACGATTTTCCTTGTAGTATGCCATATATGGCTAAAAAACGAAAGGTAACGGACGCGGAGGAAGATGACAATGATAACGAATATAATCCGTTTATATTTAATCAAAATGAAGTCTCAGATGATATCTTATGGATTCCTGATGATGAGATGGAATCACCATGGCTAAGGTAATTTAGTCTATAATTTCTATACAAGAATATGATATAACCCTTTGCCAGCTTTTGATCTTCAAATGTTTTTACTTTTTAGCCTTTCTTAGTTTTATGAGCAGATCATACTTTCATAAATCTAACTATAATAGATTGTGGCTTCATTTGGTATCATGATAACTTTTGACCCTATTATTTTGAAGTCTTGTATCTGTCTATTCAGTATTCTACCATTCTGCTCTGGGCCATCTCCGATCTTTAGCTGTATCTTTACTACGGAGAGTTCCTTCTTATTTCAGTATTTCACCTGTCAAGTGTGGGTTTTGATCCCCAATATCAATCAACCACATTTCGATCTGTCAGATGTATCTTTAAACAAGCTTAAATCTTTGTAGCTCATTCATCGGTACTGTTAAAATTACCAAAACAAAACCTCAGGTTAGAGGAGATAATCATGACGGAGTATGAAGATAAGAACAGAGGTAAAGAGATTTTTTTTTCAGATCCAGTGATAGTAGGGCCCAAAGAGTCATTACTAGCTCTTTTATCGGATGATAGTGGAATAAATACAGATCAAGAAGGAAAGAGCGAACGGTGTATACAAGTTAATGTCAGCAATTTCAAGGATCTGGTAATAAACCTGGTTAAAGATTGTCATGTTACGCAGAGATATAAAGTGGCTATCGAAAGTGGGCAGGAAGCTCCAATTGTGAAGAATTGGGGACTCGCTGAGATGAATTATGAAAATTTTACAGAGCTGTTGCAACCGGAACAGAAAGGTACAGTAAGAATAACGAAAATTGCTCTAAGTCCGGCAAAAGTGAATAGGTTAACTGAGAAAAATATTGAAAGAAAGCGATCGGTGGCATTTGCGAAGGATATAATTCGCGGTTTGGCTTTGAATGAGCTGGCAAAAATGCTGCAGCTCGACTATGGAGTGACAGATGTGATGAATGAAAAGGAGAAAAAAGCATTAAAAAATAAATTTACACACTGCAGCCGTCGCGATAGGAGTAAAGGGGGTGCAGGAGCAAAACTTGAAGAAGAGTTTTTAAATTCTCATAAAGCATTAAACAAGTTCAGCGACTATAAAGAAATCGATGAATACTTTGAGGGAATCTCGATATTTATTTTCGGTTGTGATGGATATCTTAAGTATGTTAGTAAAACACTCTGTGAGGAGTCTGTTTATTTCTATGTCAATGGCGAAGATGAATTTTTCTTAATAAGAAACGTAAAAGGCTTTTGCCGCATAGATTAATCTATTATGGTCATGGTTTTACTTTGGGATAGCTTTTATCTTATTTTGAAAATTGTATTTTCGTATTAGTATCCTATCTTTTTTATGTAAAGTATTCTTTTAAAAGATTTGTCTTGATTGATGTCACTATGAAAACCGTCATGATCCGACAAATTTAGTCCATGTCACAGAAATATTGTTTTTATATTAAAGTTTATGATCGTGCTGCAGACGTTTCTGTTCCGAATTTGAACGTGATAATCTCTAAAACTTAAATTTATTTTGTAACTCTTGTATAGTGAGAAGTAGCCAAGATAACAGGTGAAGGCTGAAGAATCTTTTTTTAGATTATCGGATCATGTCGGTTTTTTTGGTGTTGAAAACTTTGTCACAAACAGTGTTCAATAGTTGAATGTTCGTTACGTTTATTGTATTAAATATAATGGTGTGCTAGCTTAAAGCTTTAAGGGATCTAGTATTCCAAATTGAGAGATTTATTGCTATTTTGCTCATGTCTTTTGGTCAATTACACCAATGCAAATGATTCAAGAAAAGATACAGCAGGTAAAAAGGTACTTGCAAGGATAAGTTACTGAAAAAGGTCGTCTATGACAATATGACATGCTTACTTGCACTTGTCACTCCCAACAGAGCCACCAGTTTGCAAACTATCATAGACGAATAAACGATTATGTAAGCTTAAAGAGGTGAGGTTTTTATCAAAGCCAGATGTTATTAAATATAATTGCACTGTGCTCTTTTAAACACTTTTAAACGGTTTTACGTACTGTTTAACAATTTCTCTGAAAAAGAATAATCTTACCGTGATTAAATTCTTACTGTACTATGTCTAGTGTTACCCACAGTATGGGTCTGGATTACTGCAATGTGGACTAGTTTAGATTCAAGTCTAGAACAAGTACTTAGAAGTACTTTACATTGCATTAAACCTCGCCCATCCTGTTTATCTTGTATTAACGTATCCTTCTAGATTTGTTAAATATTTTGTAGGAGAGTCTTAACTATAAAGCGTATGACAATCAGCCATGTTAAAAATCGTGCGAGCTTTGAGAACAGTCAGTATTTAAAAGTTGTATTAGTGAATATTGATATTATGACATTTACGTACTTGTTTTTCAGTTTGATAGCTCTGTAAAGTTTTAAATCAAGCGAAATGGTACTACCATTCTATAGTTGTTATGATTCAAGATTATATTGTGGTATCAGCATCGATTAGATGCTGGTAAATGCTCCAAAGATTTGGCCCAAGAAATATTTGGGTAACATTTTGTATGCATGATATTTTAAGACCTTCTTAATGATTAGTCTTACGTACTGTTTAACTCTCTTTTCAAAGTGAATACAGTGCATTTTATAATAAAAAGGTTCAAGCTTGAAATTCAAGTTTCTTTAATTTTTATCTGACACCGTGAATAACTTCTGATTTTATCTTTTTATGTTACGAATAAGTACAGCTTTTAATTTTTTCTGTTTATGTGTCTTTAAGTCTGGTTTTTAAAATATTTTCCCAAAATGTGGTAACCGTGGTACATTTTTATAAAATGGTAACACGTAATGTTTTATACTCTCTTTTCAGAGTTTTAGCAGTGGAAATTTTCAAGTCATCACAATATTAATGATGCTCATTTTGTCACAATACAATGTATTAATTTTTAAAATAACTCCACTTTTATTTCTCTTTCTAATCCAAGATAAAGTTTCTTACTGTTTTCATTTGTATTGTCTATTCTTGACGATAAATGAACTCGATTTCTGGGATAAAATTAAAGTATACCGAAATCAATACCTTGAAATTTTAAGATTGAAGTCAAAACAGCCAAATTAAGAAAGCCTTGTTTCATCGAATAAAAAAGAATAAATCGTTTTCCTTACAAATTTTGTGTTGATTTATGTATAGATATGTGACGGGCTACACGCGCTAAGGGAGTAAACTCCGTGACTCCTCTTCTGAGAAGAAAGCTACCGTAACACAGCAGACAATGTCTTCAAGGTTAGTATTTAATTACTAGTATATTACTAATATATAATTAGTAATATATAATCGTGTATAGTAATCGTGTGTACTGTGCTACTATTTTAAATGACACCTACGATAAGTCAAATATGTTACATATTGTACATGTTAAATATGTTAAATATGTTAAATATGTTAAATATGTTAGATATGTTAAATATGTTACATACACTATGTAAGATATGTTAAATATGTTACATATTGTACATGTTAAATATGTTAAATATGTTACATACACTATGTAAGATATGTTAAATATGTTAAATAACTGCAGGTTAGACAGACTGCTAGTACTGCTTGACACAGGATCCACTGCTGTAGTAAGGTCAGCAGCAGCTAAACAGCTGGGAGACATCCAACAATCCCACCCTCGTGAGCTGCAGAACCTTCTCCAGCGGGTAATTACTAATTGGTTAATTGATTGTTAATTACAGTAGAACCTCTGTTATATAATACAGGGCCCCAATTCCAAGTATCTGAAGTCCCTCAAATAACCTGTCAAGCGTCTCAGCTAGGAAGTCTTAGGCAGAACGTTTTAAAACAGGAAGTGTTAATTGTTTGCAAATCCCGTGCATTTATATTATTATTATATTATATAGGGATTATAGCACATATTATGAAGCAACAAAATACTATTAGAGTTACAATTAGCGTTACTTTCTCACCTGTTAATCGGTCACTATATTTAAATTGTTCAGTGAATGGGCATATCTGCGTATGATTGATAGATAATTCGTATTTTAACTGAGCAAGAAACTAGCCAATAGCAATAATAATAAAATTAAAATCAGTTCGTATGTACATCGTTTTTCTTCAAAGGAAAACAGTCTCACACAGTTTGATCCAGTATTATCGAACCTCCAGAGAATAAACACCTGTTGACCTGTTTGCAATATATAAGCTAATCTTAAAATAAGAAATGATATTTGTTACAGTAAATTACTCCAGGTTTATGTGTATCTGAAGTCTAAGACGTGGGAGAGTAGAGTTGCTGCTGGGGAGGCTATCACAGCTATTGTTCAGCATGTTCCTCTGTGGGGCAACTGTAAAGGTAAGGCTATCACTGCTTTTACTAAATTGTTTTATTATTAAATACATTTATATAATTACATATCATTACTAAATACATGTAAGTACATTATCTATGCTTTACAGTCTACTCAGTACTATACATACAATCGCAATCCATACATATGTCATATACCACCAGTCTATAATACACACTGTAATCATTACATTCAAGTTATATAATATTTACTGATACATAACACATGTGGCACTTTGTAGAATGACTAATGAATTTAGTTATTGAACTTCTATACTGGTTAGTAATTACTAAAGTATTGGCACGATAAATGTCTAATAATTACTGAATAATTGGAACATGTGCTCTCTAGCAATCACTAAATTTTTAGAAAGTTAAAATAAGTAATTCTAATTCTAAGTACCTAGGGGTCGTTCAAATATTACGCAAGCCACTTTACACACAGTTAATAGCTATTGTGTAGAAATCCCATTAGCGCTTTTCAGAACCCTACCCTTAGGCTGAATTACGTAATATTGGTCCCTGTAGTATAATGTAAAAACTAAGTTATTTATACTGTTTAAAAGCGACTAGTATTACGTTACATTCTAACTAATAAACTTCCTTTACAGCATCACCTATAGTTTCTTATATAACTATAATAACTAACTCAAATAATCAAATATTTACTGATAAATTGCTGTATTAAATTTGACTAAATTTACCTTAGTCGGTAATATTATGGGGGTCAAATTTGGTTCTTTTCGGGCCAAACAACCATAATATTATAGGAGTCCATATTTTTAACACCCATAATTCCACCCCCCCATAATATTACCGACTAAGGTATTCAGATCTATTTATTTACACCCAATATCTCCAGTGGAAGAGGAACAGTGTGGATACCTAACATTCCAAACCTTCTCACTGGAAGATGTCATGAGGCATGGTACCCCACTACTGGCTAGTGTCGGAACCGAGTTCGATTCTCATTTAGCGGTTAGTTCCTGTTTGTGTGTTTAGGTGTTTTTCGTGTGTCAATTTGATGGTTTAGTTTCATATGGCTTGACTAATCGTCAAGCTGTTTCCTTTCTGTCTTGAAAAAGTATAAACTTCTTGAATTACAATGAGCGAAATCAGTAAAATAATTTAATCTCACCCACCGTTCCAGGACCAACCAGGACAGAAACAGCGGCTATCTAAAGAGCTGGGCTTAACAGTGGGTAATGTTCAGCTATCAGATGATCTGTTTAATGACGAGGATCTGGTTCAAGCTCCTCCTCCTCCTCCTGCTAACATCAAACCTGAGGACCTCAAGAGGGTCAGTGCTATTTGCTTATTTGTTAACAGCTTGTTTATCTGTTGTTTGTTGAACTCTTGACTTTAACCGTATGGTCAATAAGCCTAATATCATGGCTGAATAAGCACTAAGCAGTCCTTTATTCTTCAGAGTATAAATAGTTTACTGAACGGTGACGAGACCTTATCGGCAAGGGAAAGAAATAAAGCTAAACGTAAAGCTAAACAGTTATCTCGTCAAAACAGCCTCAGTGGACCAAGGTTTGCTCATTTTATTTGACACCAAATATTTCCTTTAAGAGTAATCAAATAATTTTAAGAATTACAGATACTTACAAGTGTTCAAGTAATTATATATATGGTCTAGAACCTTATCATTTAAATTTAAATCGAAAGATAACTAATAACATTATAACATAGTAATTACTTATTGAACTCTCAGGGAAGGTTTAAAACGTCAGAAGACAGCAGAGTGCCCTGGTTCCCCAACAGATGGCTCCCTGGAATGGAGCAGCCCGGACTCTACTGAATGGCCCCTGGTTACTCTTGTTCAGTATTTGTTAGACGATGTTCTCAGTACGGAGTGGGAACTCAGACACGGAGCTGCTATCGGGCTCAGGTCAGTAGGGGGGGGCCTGGGGGTGAAGTGGGGCTGGGGTGGGGGGCTCAGGTCAGTAGGGGGTTGGGCTGGGGGGGGGGGACCAACACCTGATTATTTCCCTAGACATGCATTTTTCATCAGAAAACAACTTCCTTAATAGTCTAACTTATTTGTTGAGCAGTTCCACCTCATAAGATTTAACTAAATTTGGAATTATCAACGGCTGAATCAATCGAGAAATTACACAGAAGTGTAACTGTAATTCTGGTGTCTGGACTCAAGGGCATGAAACTCTAAAGAATAAGGAGCAGCTTTTCTGATGTAACTGAACTTGAAGGATATAAAATAATATTTACTTCAAAACTTGACCATATTTTGCTCAAGGGGTTACTACTTAATGCCAGATTAACAGTACAATGTGTTTAATAAAGTGCTCAAATTCCCAAGTACTTGAAACATGTATAAGATTGGAAATAAGATGTTTAACAGAAAGTTCTAGAAGTTTCCAAGTAATCAGAACATGTTAACGTTTCAGGTCGATAGTGAGGAAGCACAGATACACTAAACACTGGCTAGTAGATGTGGCACTCAGACTGGTTACTGTTCTTGCTCTGGATAGGTTCGGGGACTACGTCTCTCACGAGGTAAGTACTCATCTCGCTTATCTTATCTCAACTCGCTTATCAACGAATGCAAAATTATGATGGTAACGCGAATGTACCCAACTGGTGGTAGAGAAAACTGACCGTCCGTGGAGCTTTGTTGCTATCCTCTAGATTTAACAGTTTAAGGGATCTCAATCCGATTAATTATAGTTAACATTATGAAATTAATATTACAAATAACATTATAATAACCCTACAGGTAGTAGCACCAGTGCGAGAAACAACAGCCCAAGTGTTAGGTATAATATCCTCCCACCTCCCTATAGAGGACATGTTGCTGCTACAAGGACTCTTCCTACAACTGCTGGGGAGTGGGGAGTGGCAGGCTCGACATGGTGGGCTACTAGCTATAAAGTACCTGCTAGCTGCTAGACAGGTTAGTGGGGAGTGGCAGGCTCGACATGGTGGGCTACTAGCTATAAAGTATCTTCTGGCTGCTAGACAGGTTAGTGGGGAGTGGCAGGCTCGACATGGTGGGCTACTTGCTATAAAGTACCTGCTGGCTGCTAGACAGGTTAGTGGGGAGTGGCAGGCTCGACATGGTGGGCTACTAGCTATAAAGTACCTGCTGGCTGCTAGACAGGTTAGTGGGGAGTGGCAGGCTCGACATGGTGGGCTACTAGCTATAAAGTACCTGCTGGCTGCTAGACAGGTTAGTGGGGAGTGGCAGGCTCGACATGGTGGGCTACTTGCTATAAAGTACCTGCTGGCTGCTAGACAGGTTAGTGGGGAGTGGCAGGCTCGACATGGTGGGCTACTAGCTATAAAGTACCTGCTGGCTGCTAGACAGGTTAGTGGGGAGTGGCAGGCTCGACATGGTGGGCTACTTGCTATAAAGTACCTGCTGGCTGCTAGACAGGTTAGTGGGGAGTGGCAGGCTCGACATGGTGGGCTACTAGCTATAAAGTACCTGCTGGCTGCTAGACAGGTTAGTGGGGAGTGGCAGGCTCGACATGGTGGGCTACTAGCTATAAAGTACCTGCTGGCTGCAAGACAGGTTAGTGGGGAGTGGCAGGCTCGACATGGTGGGCTACTTGCTATAAAGTACCTGTTGGCTGCTAGACAGGTTAGTGGGGAGTGGCAGGCTCGACATGGTGGGCTACTTGCTATAAAGTACCTGCTGGCTGCTAGACAGGTTAGTGGGGAGTGGCAGGCTCGACATGGTGGGCTACTTGCTATAAAGTACCTGTTGGCTGCTAGACAGGTTAGTGGGGAGTGGCAGGCTCGACATGGTGGGCTACTTGCTATAAAGTACCTGCTGGCTGCTAGACAGGTTAGTGGGGAGTGGCAGGCTCGACATGGTGGGCTACTTGCTATAAAGTACCTGCTGGCTGCTAGACAGGTTAGTGGGGAGTGGCAGGCTCGACATGGTGGGCTACTTGCTATAAAGTACCTGTTGGCTGCTAGACAGGTTAGTGGGGAGTGGCAGGCTCGACATGGTGGGCTACTTGCTATAAAGTACCTGCTGGCTGCTAGACAGGTTAGTGGGGAGTGGCAGGCTCGACATGGTGGGCTACTTGCTATAAAGTACCTGCTGGCTGCTAGACAGGTTAGTGGGGAGTGGCAGGCTCGACATGGTGGGCTACTTGCTATAAAGTACCTGTTGGCTGCTAGACAGGTTAGTGGGGAGTGGCAGGCTCGACATGGTGGGCTACTAGCTATAAAGTACCTGTTGGCTGCTAGACAGGTTAGTGGGGAGTGGCAGGCTCGACATGGTGGGCTACTAGCTATAAAGTACCTGTTGGCTGCTAGACAGGTTAGTGGGGAGTGGCAGGCTCGACATGGTGGGCTACTTGCTATAAAGTACCTGCTGGCTGCTAGACAGGTTAGTGGGGAGTGGCAGGCTCGACATGGTGGGCTACTTGCTATAAAGTACCTGCTGGCTGCTAGACAGGTTAGTGGGGAGTGGCAGGCTCGACATGGTGGGCTACTTGCTATAAAGTACCTGTTGGCTGCTAGACAGGTTAGTGGGGAGTGGCAGGCTCGACATGGTGGGCTACTAGCTATAAAGTACCTGCTGGCTGCTAGACAGGTTAGTGGGGAGTGGCAGGCTCGACATGGTGGGCTACTAGCTATAAAGTATCTTCTGGCTGCTAGACAGGTTAGTGGGGAGTGGCAGGCTCGACATGGTGGGCTACTAGCTATAAAGTACCTGCTGGCTGCTAGACAGGTTAGTGGGGAGTGGCAGGCTCGACATGGTGGGCTACTAGCTATAAAGTACCTGCTGGCTGCTAGACAGGTTAGTGGGGAGTGGCAGGCTCGACATGGTGGGCTACTAGCTATAAAGTACCTGCTGGCTGCTAGACAGGTTAGTGGGGAGTGGCAGGCTCGACATGGTGGGCTACTAGCTATAAAGTACCTGCTGGCTGCTAGACAGGTTAGTGGGGAGTGGCAGGCTCGACATGGTGGGCTACTTGCTATAAAGTACCTGCTGGCTGCTAGACAGGTTAGTGGGGAGTGGCAGGCTCGACATGGTGGGCTACTTGCTATAAAGTACCTGCTGGCTGCTAGACAGGTTAGTGGGGAGTGGCAGGCTCGACATGGTGGGCTACTAGCTATAAAGTATCTTCTGGCTGCTAGACAGGTTAGTGGGGAGTGGCAGGCTCGACATGGTGGGCTACTTGCTATAAAGTACCTGCTGGCTGCTAGACAGGTTAGTGGGGAGTGGCAGGCTCGACATGGTGGGCTACTAGCTATAAAGTACCTGCTGGCTGCTAGACAGGTTAGTGGGGAGTGGCAGGCTCGACATGGTGGGCTACTAGCTATAAAGTACCTGCTGGCTGCTAGACAGGTTAGTGGGGAGTGGCAGGCTCGACATGGTGGGCTACTAGCTATAAAGTACCTGCTGGCTGCTAGACAGGTTAGTGGGGAGTGGCAGGCTCGACATGGTGGGCTACTAGCTATAAAGTACCTGCTGGCTGCTAGACAGGTTAGTGGGGAGTGGCAGGCTCGACATGGTGGGCTACTTGCTATAAAGTACCTGCTGGCTGCTAGACAGGTTAGTGGGGAGTGGCAGGCTCGACATGGTGGGCTACTAGCTATAAAGTACCTGCTGGCTGCTAGACAGGTTAGGCGCTGTTTTTCAGGGTTTTTTTAGGATTCTTATATACCATTAGATTTAATTGTGCGAATATATTACCTTCCATATATAATATATAATATGACTTAATATATGTATTATTATACCAATAGAAACGACCGGTTGTATTGAGTCAGATAAATGTTTCAATCGTGCAAAACCATGATATCATCAGTGACAACATATTACTATATGTATCATGTATGCTGATAAATTTCTAGCACTCAGTTAATTATGTACATAATTGGTTCATCAAGAGATCAAGGTCAAACACTCCTCTTTCAACACTAGTCTTTCAATCAACTCTCTTTCAAACACTCCGCTTTCAATCACTCCTCTTTCAAACACCTCTTTCAAACACTCAAATTAAATGACTGTGTGTTACTTTATCATTGTGTTCCAAAAGAAGAGACTTCAACCCCTTATCTTATGACATTTGGGGCTATTAAAGAAAATAAACTTGCTAAATGAAAGAATGCCAGACACCACCTGCCCTGTTGTTATGATAACATTTGGCACAGGCTATATTGTTTCCTTAACCACAGTGCTTACTCATATCACAGATTACTAATCAAGTGTTGTCTTCACTTGAAGTGTCAGCTAACATTAGGTGTATTGTTCAGGATATAACGCCACAGTTTCTAACGGCTCTGTTACCACATGTTATTAAGAGTGTTAGTGATGATGATGACGATGTGAGGGCGGTTGCGGCTGCTGCGCTTCTTCCTGTGGCTGCCAATGTGAGTTGTGCTGTTTCTTATCTGATTGCATGTTTTGGTGGTGAAAGATTATGTTCAACTTATACTATAGAAATCGTTATATTTTCTCAATTTTAATCCTGAAATTATTTTTAAGTATAAGAAGATAAACTATTAATTATGAGGCTTAATCTCAAAAAACTAAATCTCCCCGACAGTTACCGGAGAAAGTTCCAGAAGATCTGATATTCGCTCTAACTGACAAATTGTGGACTTCCCTGGTTGTTCTGGATGACCTCAGTGCCTCTACTAGCTCGATTATAACTTTACTTGCTGAACTTCTCAAACATAAACACATTTGTGAGTAAGAGGTATTTAAATACCGTTACACTCTACAGATCACTTGACGAAGGTGCTAAGTAATCGGAATGTGGTGATCCCTTAACACTCAATACTCAACAGGCGATTATTACAATTCCGGGAAAAGTGGAGATAGTTTAGACCTGCTGGTCCCACGGTTGCGACCATTTATGTCACATACCATAAGGTCGGAAAAAATTATTTTATCTTACCTTTTATATTCTATATTTTGTATTCTACCTTTTTTATTGTACTTAGTAAACTCTTTTAACTATCGTCTATCGTCACGTAAAAGTAAACTGTTTCACACTCAGCTGTTTTCTCTGTAAATTGTCTTATGACTCCAGTGTGACCCTCGTGTTTCCTCAATTTGGCCTATTTGGGTCACACGACCCCAATTTAACTGCAAATTCATCAGATCGGTACGAAGAGACAGCCTGCTAGCTCTGCATGTCTTGTTACAAATCAGAGGTTCCTGGGTCGATAAGATTGCCCCGCTCTTCGCTAGAGTTCTCTATCAGCGGATATTTCTAGAGGCTGAGGATTCTTTCCACCCCCTCCTAATCAAGGTGACCTCATGCTTGCAAATGAATGACATTCCTACGATAGTACGAATGACAGCTTCTTCGACAGCTTCTTTGCCAGCTTCTTTGCCAGCCATCCGAATATGTTTTGTTCGCGCTTATTCCTAATAATATTTCTTAAACAATTTTGCTCATTTATTGTAGCGCGCGATAACATTTTGCTATACAGGCCTCTTGCTTTAGAGTCTTCGCGCACGTTAATATTTTTTGCGCACTTGCAGAATTAAGATTTACCATGCTGCAAAGTGGCCTAATATCATCCGCAACAACTTGGATCTGTTGAGATGGTCAGTCATTTAAAGATATTTCATTCAGGTCTGGGACGAACTGTTCGCTGCCACATCTGAAGATTGTGGTAAGAAGATCGTAACTGACCACCTTCCTCTTTGGTTCCACTTGCTTGGGGCTCCCCCTGGCCTTACTCTTGATGCTAGTCTTTTCTTCAAGCCTCCCACAGTACGTACTCGTAAATGACTAAATCTTCTTTGATTTACTGCTTAATTCGATCATCCCTGGAAGAGTGGAAGGATCCACCTGTACCCAATAGTTTTCTGATAGTCAAACTACAGGTCGCAGCACTAAGTGTCCCAATGGGTCCCCGAGAGTTTACTCTGAAATGCAGCCTTGTTGAAGTGCTGGCTAGTGCCGCTCAAGTTACCGACTTTGCCTTATTCACTCCGCTTATCGCTGGCATGTTGGACTCGGGCTGTGCTTCCCACAAAAAGGTAAGTCCTCTACAGTAACTTACATTCCAATCAACGTATTTTGATGTTATTGTGGCGTAATTGATTCACAAATTTTGACTCAAAGTCTCCTTTTGAAATGGTGACTGGCCCTGCACTGCCAAAGGGGGGGGGGGGGGGGGGGGGGGGCTGCTAAATAGTATTAATCACCATGTTTATACTGCACCTTACTCCAGGGTGCATGCTTGGTGTTGCAGCAGTTAATAGAACGGTGTAAAGTAAACAAAGAATCTATCCCTGAACTGACTTCAAAGGTCACCACCCTGCTGACCAGCCCCATGACATTTGATGAGGTAGGACTTAACATTCGGAAAAGCATCCCCAATAATCCCCAATAATATTATTTTCTTTCAGCAGACCGACATGTTTATTGTCTGAACCGGACGATCAATTGATTCCACATCTCGATGACTAAGGCGCGGATAGATAAATCGAGTCTAAAAATATATCTTCTCCCACAGTTTATGAGCAATCACCCCTCAAACAAAATTTTGAGATAGGACTTTAAAAATTTTGTATTTAATTCTGAAAATCTTGGACCTCGTTTTTTACGATTTTCTCACTCCCCTCTATCAGAAACAACTATAAAGTCAATTTCGAGAGAATTTTGATGAAGACCCCCCCCGGCCCCCTTAAATAACTCGTTCACAGCGTACCTGCTTTAGCTACTGAAACCACCATATCAATAGCATGCAACCTCTAGCTTTTTATTTGTGATTCTGATTAATGACTTTCAGTTACTGGCAGTGAATCAAAACCTACAGATAGCATGTAGGGGTCTCTTATCATCAGCTAAAGATAAGCCAAGTGTGCAGCAGTTCACTGCCCTGCCTAACTTCTCAGTGGAAAATGCTTTCGCTCTCGGTCAGTTTGAGTTGTTTTTTTAAATTCTTTTAAATTTTAAAGAAGCCTAAAAAACCTTTTAACGCCGCTAAATGATACAAAACCCTGAAAATTGTCTGGAAATAACATGTTCTAATACTCACACAAAATGACGGCTTATTCTTCCGCAGTACAAACATGCAGACAAGCAGGTCACGTGAGCACAGAAGTTAGTGTGGTCGAGGCAGTTTCCCAGAGTTTCAGTACCTCAAGTATCGTGCTCTCCACCAGAGTTTACAGTGCTCTAGCGGGGACCATGGTACGGTTGGGGGTACTTCCTCCAAAACTGAATCCTGTAATTAAACCTATCATGGATTCTATTAAACGGGAGGTTTGTTATGATACTTTTAGTTAATAGAAATCAGGGGCGCTCTGATGAATAAATGGATGACGTCTTATTGCTAACAGTGCTTCACTCTGGTGTTTTATTTTCCGCACGAATCAAGCTGATGTTCCTTTAAAATCCCTGACATTGATGGTCTCGTGACTTGTACCACGTGACATTAATAGCAATCCTGTTCCTAGACTTCAGAAGAACTCCAGATATGTGCAGCACATAACCTACTCCACCTCATACTGCTCGTCAAGGACCGGTCACCCTGCCCTACATCTAAAATTATCAAAAATCTCATATCTGGTAATTTTGCTTCACTCTATCTAAAACATTGCTCGAAATTTCAGATTTTATGCATTGCCCTTATTCCCAATTACATGTATGTATCTTATCAGAAAATTTGTCGCAGGATTGTTAGAGGACAGAGTGTTATACCCGAATGTTGAGTCCAGTTCTAATCCTTTTCTCTTTACTCAACTGTAAGAAATTGTTGTCTTCTCCTAGTATTTTCTTGGTTAGAGCAAAGTTTTCAACATTCTAGAAAGTGATAAATTTCCAGCATGAGGAAATGTTTGATCTAAAGCTCACTTTCAAAGTTTTCTCCTCTCTCAGAAGCAACCACGCCGGTAACATGACCCCTGCAGCAGGAGCAGGATGCTGCACCCCCACTACCCCCTCTACCCCTCTCACTGCTCCTGGAGACATCATGAGCCAACTTGCTACCCTCACCAAGTTCGAGGGCATGATCAGCTATGTTAGCCATGCTTGCTCCATTGGTAGTAAATCGGGTGAGTTTTTCTGGTAAAGTCAAGTTTGTTGTGTTGGTGAAATGTTCACTATTCGCAAGTCTGAATTCTTTCAACAATTACAATACTGGAGGAATTTCGTATTTCCCATGAGCAAATGAATTTTTAACTAAATCATGGAATTGAAAAGTCTGGAGTATTTACCCGAAAATTTTAACTTTCGTGATTTCATATGTAATGGTTAATATAAATAAAAGCGTATTATGACAATAAAATACCTATAAAAGTAACATCATCGAATAGATAACTCTAGATCAATGAAAAGTCTACGAAAATCAATCTGTAGCTTCAAATGCTGACTCTCGCTCGGTACCAAAACACGTATATTTTTTAGAAAAAGACCACGATACGGTCAATAATCTCAGATCGTCACATGACTCCTAGCGTGGATAACATCGCTCTGATTAAATGTTTATCGCTCTTGTTCCCTCGCACTGATCCAGTCATTTCTGTCTTGTTTAGTGGGGTTTGGAGCTATTGAAATAAATTCTGTCGCAGGAATGAGACATACCTGTCTGATAAAATGTCTCATGATGCTTGGCAGTGGGGGTTTTAGTTTTTACCTTATTTAAAATAGAGACTAAGCTGACAAATCACATTTTTACGAGTTCTGAATCACTCTGAAACGTCTACTACTACTACGTCAGCATAACATGGAGGCAGATCCTCCTCCTCCTCCTTTTCAGCTATTGCCTCGGTGTAAGTAGGTAGATCATCAGGGTGTGCCAGCTGATTGATAACAATTTCGTTGTTAGACCCTTCCTCGACATTATTTACCGGTCTGGTTTGAATGGGAGAACCCCAGTTTTTATCATTCATAGCAACACAAGATATTATAACGATAAAGAAAACAACAATCGCAGCACCAATTCCCAGCAGGTAGAGACTTGGGTTCTTCTCCAAACGTATAGCAGTCAATACCGAAGAGTGGTCCCCGAATATTGGCCAATCGTTACTGTCCTCATCACTATCTGCGACTTCTTCAAAATCTTCAGAATGGTCAAAACAAGATATCGGAGCAGCTTTCCAGAACCGCTTGTAGATGGTCTCAAAATCAGATCCAATCAGTTGACATCCCTCTCCGGTTACTCTGGACTGACTGACTGTTACACCGTGACACTCTGGAGTAGCCAAACATTCCCTGAAACAGTCCCCCACGGAAGTGTATGTGACTTCTGCGATCAAAGTTCCGCATCCTTTAGTGTTGGGCTCCATCGTGCATAAGTAGTGGGTGTGGGCATGTTGGACTGTTGCCAGCATTATAAGGCAAGCTGGGAGGAGGTGGTCATTAAACATTATCTCGTTACCTAAAAAGAGTCGATAATCAAAAATTGTCGCTTATATTGTAATTATATAGATATTTAACTGACCTTTGCTGGTCAGAATTAGAAATGGCGTTATTTGACCCAGGGGTCACATGGATCTGCTTAATAAACTGATATCAGCCTTATTTAAACCAATAAACTGAAATATCATACTAGGTTCAACGGTAGTTGGGACAAATTATTTTAGCAGCAAATGAACCCCCCCCCCCCCCCCTTCCTAGAAGCTTGGGCCTAAATGGTGAGCTAGAGACTGCAAACAGTAATCACGAATGTAGTAAATCGCCTTGTAAATTAAAATGTTATCTTGATTGTAAGATAGCGGAACAAATTTGTCTAAACTCTACTAAGATTAGTGTGAAAAGGAAAATTATCTCTCGAGTTATCGGCACCAAAGTAAAAACGCGATGGCTATAAACTAAATGTACATTTAAATAAGGATCTTGTTAAAATATCCATACTTCCCATTTACTTATTTGGATTTATTTTGCTGATTTATTTTGCTGTCCCCACCTTAGCAAGGTGGGGTGACCTTGCTCGTCATGATATTATGCCATAAGTGGTAGCCAGGATGAAGTAATCACAATTGGTTGTCTCTAGTCTTGTTATGTGAGATCGGTGCTGGGATTTGTGAAACTATCATGTGTGTGTGCTCGAGCATGTCTAGAGATCTGATGCCGGGTATAAAGGCTACATACCGCGCCGGGTCCTTGGCATAGGATCACAGGGTTCAATGGCAGAGAGATCAGAAATTTCTAAACTTTTAGGATTATCGTTTAAATTTCCTGACATGTAGCAACCAGCGCTTGTCAGAAAAAGTTTGGGTCTCCTGTTTGCTGGAAAAACAAGTGAGATTGAATAACAGTCTAATGTTGGGAATGTTATACAATTGTGAAGTGTCTAGTGTTTAATTGTACAACAATTAAAACAACTAGTTTGCAAACGAATGTTCGGGAACATTGATCAATTAAAGAATACGTAAATTATTATACGTGTTAAGAGGTTAATTATAAAACATCGTATAATTTAGAAGCGTTATTTCGCCGGTCATGCCGGCAATCACATGATAAAGAATTCAGCATTAGGCATCATCGGGCAAGGTTCATCTCTAGCCCTGATTAAATGTTTAAAAAAGATCGAACCTTCGCATCTTATCTGTGCTATAAACACTACGTCATGACGTCATATAATAATAATCATGACGTATTACACACAAGCGTCCCATCATACAACCTGGCGACCGAATATCTGCAGAAACAATATGTTGAACACTGTAAGCAAAACAAACTAACCGAGGCACCAGAACTGCAACAAAAGAAAGCACACACAGTGTAATTATAATGATCGCAACTAATGTGTTCCTATAAACGCATTCTCTCTCTTTGACTGTATTCAGTAACAAGTATGATAATCTAAGGACTTCACATGCATTTGCGTGTTATCACAACCACGTGATAATATTAATCCTGGCTACGTGTCAGCATCGATTTTAAAGCTAGGTTTGGAGCGGGTGGAGCGTCTTTTTTTTAAACTTTAACGGACAGGAACATCACAACAATCATCAAATGGATGACATTAAAATGAACAGGATTAGAAAGTGATCTCATTCAACAAGCAATGCCGAGACACATTGCTTAATCTTGAATATACAGGGGGGGGGGGGGGGGGGGGGGGGGGGGAGGGTGCACAGATAATATTCCGGATTAAATGACCTATTGCAATATGTAACAACGGAGTCTCTAACATGTCTCTAACATGTTCATTCAATGTTGATTCGGTGTGGCCCAAATCAACATTGGTGACAGAATCCTCGAGCAAGTAGGTACAGTATGCCATCTGCAAAGCAGCAACTCTCAAATATAAAACACGGCGGTGGTATAAGAGCCAACGTATGAGTACTGACTTTTGTCTCCCCCCCCCCCCCCCTGTATATTTAACTTCCTACTGAAACTAAACCTCATGACACCAGTGTAGCTATTACTATGTACTATGAGTATTGCTGAAAGCACAGTGTAAGGCCTACACGGACCGCCTCTAACTAGCCAATCCCTGTTTACATGCCGTGTAGCAGGGGACTAGAAAGAGCTAAACTAGTAAGCGGGGCATAGCCAATACACTATACTTGGTAATGCGCTTACAGGAGCACATAGCATGGGCAACAACAACTAAACAACCGAACACTGAAACTAAACCTCATGACACCAGTGTAGCTATTACTATGTACTATGAGTATTGCTGAAAGCACAGTGTAAGGCCTACACGGACCGCCTCTAACTAGCCAATCCCTGTTTACATGCCGTGTAGCAGGGGACTAGAAAGAGCTAAACTAGTAAGCGGGGCATAGCCAATACACTATACTTGGTAATGCGCTTACAGGAGCACATAGCATGGGCAACAACAACTAAACAACCGAACAACAACAAGGTGTTTCAGCGTAAAGCTCACACTAGGTACGGCGTACGCGACGGGAAAGGTGTAGTCAGTAGTGGGTCGCCAAGGCCAAGGAGAGGTGTAGTGGGGGGGGGGGTGCCGGGGGATGTGTAGTGGGTGGAGAGGTGTAGTGGGGGGGGGGGATGCCGAACGAACACCGCCTCGGCGAGACTAGTTCGGTAGAAGGCAGAAGGCAGAAGGCCATAATCAACTTCCTAAAACTGGTCGTTCCGGAGATATAAAGGAAGCACAAGGAAATCGAATTAGTATAATTCCGGTCTCCAGATAAGGCCTCCACCCTTATCTGATGTTTCGAATAAGTATAAGGCCTTTTTCCAGATGTTAACATGAACCGGATGAGATTGATAGAGTTAATTGGCTTTGTCGTTCACTGATCATATTATAAATTCAACGGTTATGAATCATCATAAACGGCAGAGGCAACATATAGGTGCGGTAATATTTTGCAAATAGTGTGATTCTGCACTTGCCTGCAATTGTTTATGTGCGCCACATTTGCAGCGTGGTATATATAACGTTACATTACACGATTGTCGAGTTTAACAAAACAACTGACTCACAAGGTCTTCGGGGTCGTTCACATATTACGTAATCAGCTGAGGGGGGGGGGTTCAAAATGATTACGCTAGTGTAATTTTGACACAATAGCTATGTGTATTGTGTAAAACTGATTACGGAGCTGAGGGGGGGGGGGGGGGGGGTAAAAATGTTCCAAAAAATGATTACGTTATGATATGTGAACGACCCGTTACACCTATAGTTTCATTCACGTTCAATTGTCAGGAAACTTTAATTGAATTCATAGTTCTAGATTTACCCTCATTACATAGAAAGATAGAACTGCTTACTCGATTTTCACTCAATTTCTAGAGTAGATTTTTTACTCGTGCCCAAGTGAAGATCGGTTTTTCTGAATTTTTTCCAAAGATAAGCATTTTGGGTTTTCATGACCTTCATAGTACCAATATAAACATGTGCATTGCGGTCATTTTAAACTCAGGTTTGAGTCTCTAAGACCTTCAGAAGCTGAGATAAATATTTCCCATATACACACCCCATATGAAATATGGGCGTGGCTCCACAGGGTTGGGTCTAGCGACACAACCCTCGGTGATTTGACCTATTTAACCCGATTCAGTGGCAAAAAACTCTATGCAGCGAAGTGCACACTCAACCCCTCCCTGCTACTGAAGTACATAGAATTTAGCA